TTGACACACTTTAACATGTCTCTCAACTCAATCTGGGTTGGAAAACTTGAGGAATAGACTCATAGACAAATGAGTCAAACCATAGATGCCAACCCAACAAAACCACAAGCAGACTAGACTTTGATACCATATTAAATTAAACCTAACTCACCTCAAAATAATCCTCTACATGTGAGGTTATTTCACACTTGTATATATTAGATACGGATCTGGTAAAAATCCGATTTGGAACACTTAATCAGATGCAAATATATATCTGATGGAATGCTGTGTGACTGTTGTGCATGGATCTCTTCTATTTGAAAAGATCTCTGGGGTAAAGTGAATATTTAAAAGTAAAAATAAGAAATAAGGGTCAGGATACCTTTGACATCAGCTGTATGCGATTAGCATGTGGACCAAGGACATTTCTAACATTGACAAGATCAGAACCTTTGCGCACAAATGAAAGGGCAATCATGTCAATGTTGTTGGGAACACCCCATCCAAGGATATCTTCCTTATCCTTGTCTGTTAGAGTTGGGAGATCCACCACAACACCCGGAAGGTTCACATTTTTCCTTTCTCCTAACATGGCAGTGTTCTCACAGCGACATCTCACAGTTCCAGCAGAGGCATCACATGACAGAACAGTGAGTGTTATGGTTCCATCTGCACACAAGATGGTATTCCCCGGCTTCAGGTCTACCGCTAATTTTTGGTAGCTCATGCATATTGTTTTTTCATCTCCCTTCATGCTGTAGTCAGTTGTCACTGTGATTTCTTGGCCTTCTTTGAGTTGTACCGGTTTTCCGTCCTTCAAGAAACCAGTTCGGATCTCAGGACCCTGCATGTTAGTGTGAAGACAGGACCACAACGTCAGTCTAGAAGAAATAAACGAGACATCAAAAACACTTCGATATACTTGACAAGTCAGGCAGAGCTTAGAACTATTCAGGAATTTTCCAAATGCAGGCGCACAGTTAAGAAATGATAATATACATTCACGATTGCATAAAATCTCTACTGTAAGGGTACATATTTGTTGAAACTCCTTTATTTAGGAACTATGTACCAAACATAAGATATCAAATTTATTTGCCTTCCTATCACTTTTTTTATCCTTCTCATAGTATTTTGCAGGATTCAAACATACTTTTTCTAAGTGTTTCCTGTGAGAAGCGATAGGTGTCGTAACTTGTAAGTAAAATATGATATTGCAAATAGAGAATGAATCACATCATACAATTATTTCTGAGCAAAGGAATGCAATTATGCCCCTGAAATCTAATTCTGTAGAAAATGCAGTAGTGTGGGGAGAACCAAAGGAGAAAGCTAGAAAAGTGGACCTTGGTATCAAGCATGACAGCACAGAGGATCTGAGTGTTTTGCATAGCAATCTTGAGATTGTTCAAGGTCTCCTGGTGGTAGTCATGGGTCCCATGCGAGAAATTGAACCTAGCAACATTCATCCCAGCCCGAAGAAGCTTCTCAAGCATGGGAACGGATCGCGAAGCTGGTCCCAATGTGCAGACAATCTTTGTCTTCGGAATCCGGCCATCAGTTGGGACATCTTTCAAGATTCCCACTATGTCTATGTTTGCCATCTATTGGACACAATCTATTCAAGTATTAAAAGCAAAAAAAAACTGTTTTACTACAACCACCAAGAAAATCATGGATCATCCTATGATTCCTATCTATGAAGAGCAAACCCTGCTTACAACATCAAGTAAACCTTGAACTTGGCATATAATTTTCTTTAAGCTCATCAAAAGAAAAGCAAGAAATGGAAAAAAATATAAAACCAAATATTTTTAGAGTTCTCTCTCAAACTCTTCAAAGGGTGATTGGGTAATCTGAGACAGATCTAAAAGAAGTGCATGCAAAGAGACCGTTACCAACAATCCCAGGGGTGCAATTCAAGAAAACTTATAAAATAAATCAATTTGATTCTTTTGGTCAGTAGTTTTTCCAGGCAATTCGAGAGCTTCTTCAAGTTTACTGTAATTTAAACAAACAAAAAGCAGAAATGGATACTGGCAGCATAGAGTTAGACAAAGAAAGCACACCTGAAGTAAAAGCAATAAGTTGTAATCACCGGTCCCGTTGAACTCACGGCTGTTGAGGTTTTAAATTGGAGGGAAGCTGGAGTAGTGAGAAAATGTAAGGAGGCGAGATCTGGATTCTTAAGCCTCTGTCATCAGAGTACTCCGTACAAGTTTCGAGCTTGTGTTAGGTGGCGATCATACACAGAGGATTGCTTTTGACCCTTGAAGACCAGACCAGAATATTCTTGATGCTAAAACCCACAAAAAGCTACGCTCATTTAAACATCATTTTTACCGTTTTTGACACTAATTTCGTACGAAGTAATTGGTACACAAATAAGGTCAAACATGTTAATATCGCAAATTATAGGATGGTATAAGGTACGCGACTCCACGATAGTTTTTCCTACAAATTACTCCCTCAATGATCGGTTTACAGTTTCCCAAACACCACAACTTTTATTTTTCTCGACTTCCGCGTCAAAAGTGCTTTTACCTTTTCTATTACACAAAAATCACTTTCTTTTCAAACACTATCAACTTTTATTTAATCACTTATCTTCATTTCATTAAAAAAAGCACTTTTTTAAAGCAGAAGCTGTTGCAAACAGACCCTTAATATCTCCATCCCGTTAAGATTGTCTTGTTTTACCATTTCAGTCCGTTCAACTAAGATTGGTCAATATCAAATTTGGCAAAGTTTGTGTGGCTCTAAATCATTCTTACTTTATCAATTCAATATCAACCACATAAATCATTTTTTATTAGTTTATGTGTCACTCCCTCTTGTCGCATTGTTAGTGGGACGGAGAGAGTACTTTTTATAAAATATACAATAATTATCTTGAACTACGTGACAAATAAATGAGACAGACGGTGCCATACGAAGGGAGTATTATCATTGGCTGCCACTATATAGAGTGGCACTTGACTTTGTTTTCGTTGGAGTAGAACATACTAATCGCTCAATTTTGTCAAGTTAATGTTGGGTGTGAAATTAGAATAGTAAAAATTATAAGGTTGAGATTTGTGCAGGAAAAAGAAAAATGAACAGGGCCACAATTCATTGCTTTAAATGAAAATTGACAAAGTTTTTTGGAAAAAAAAGAAAAGAAAATTGGAGAGGTCGAGTAGATGAGTTCTAGTGAAATTAGGAGAATGCTCTCAATGGCCACACATTCTGATAGCTTTGTTAAGAATTTCAAAGCTAGTTATGTAGAGTACGTTGCCTAATTTTGTTCAAATTTATGAAGTTCTAATTGAAATGACAGAATAAGTTAATTATGTTAATTTATGAAAAATTATATTTAAAAATACTACCTCTGTTCTTAAATATATGCAACATGTTGAATTTTACACTATTCACATGTTCTACTTTGATTACGTTTTATATATTAATGAATTAATATATTTTTTTGAAAAAAAATACTGTTAAATTTGTCTCATTGTAAATTTTCAAAATCTAATTTTTATAATTTTTTTACTAATAGAGAATTAAATATATTAACGTTCAAAGTTGTGCCTTGACAAACGTGAAAAGTTGACTGCTGCATTTATTTAAGAACGGGGGTAGTATTTTATTAATAAAATAAAGAAAATGTATATAAAAAATAACTAAAATGATGTTCTACAGTAACTTCAATCAATCATGTCAGAAAAGTAACTTCAACCTTATTTGTTTTGATTATTACACAATTCAGCGCGTGAAAAATTACGTGTTTGGTGAAATATGATTAGCAAGGTTGATAAGTTGAAAACATGATCACCAAAGAAGCAACGTGGAGTAGCGGTTCCCGGTTCTACCAAGTCTCAAAAATATCAAAGAAATATAGATTACAGTCCAATAAATGGGTAAGTTCGAGCTGACTATATCAAGTCTCGAAATAGGAATCGAACTTTACTCGTCTTGTTTGAAATAAATAAGTTTGATCCAGAATTAAATATAATCATCATAGAAAACTATATATCCTCTATGAAATAAACATATTATAGCATATGTTGGGATAATGGGCCGGGTCCAATACTATTGACCCAATATGCCTAGGCTCGGGCGCGAACCAGGCCCAACACACGGTCCGGCTAGAGAATATGGTCCTTGGATTGATTTGTATAATTCTTGGGCCGACCGGCCCATTGGCCTTAGATCAAGCTTCTTGTTTTAGTTGTTTAATTGGGCCAAGCCCATTAGCCTTAGACAAACCTCTTGTAAGTGCCTATAAATAGGCCGCCCCTCCCTCTATATTGGACACGTCACTTTTACTATACTGAATTGCTGCTGAATTTTCTACTCAACATATTTTCTACCAACAGCATACATCCGACGAAACTCCTATTATGTAATACATAAGCCAAAACCACTTGAAATAGGTAATTTGAGGCTCAAATCATAAGCAGATCCACATTATGAAATGAATATTAATGTATTCATATGATATACATATTCTGATAATCATAAAACAATCACATTGTTTAGTACTTGGATCTATTGTTATAGTTGATACCTAACAACGCTTTTGCATTTAACCCTAACCATTGCAAATATGTAGAAACTTGCTGCATATTAGTTACTCTCTTCTTCATCATAGAGGTATGCAACTCAATTATTAAGTTTGTAGGTGGTTCACAGAACTTCGTTCAGAAGGAATGAGTTGATTAGTTACTTACTGTCTTCTTCTTCCCAAAGGTATGCAACTCAGTTATGAAGTTTGTAGAAGGTGGTTCATAGAACTTTGTTCAAAAGGGATGAGAGCGAAAATTTTCACGAAAAGCGTATTTTTTGGATTTTCAAAAGATGCAAATGAAAAGATATTGAGAGTGGAGAGAATAACCACTTGAGGAAAAGGCGGGAGAGGGGATTTGTTGGGTCCCGTGCGCGTCTTAAATTTTTTATTAAAATTAAATGTTAATTAGTACTACATCGTTTTAGCCGCAAGAGTAGGATGCCCAAGATGGGTCGCTCCCACAAAATAACCGGAAGATATATTATTAAAAAATACCCTGTCCAAGTGTCCAGTAAAGATTTTGGTTTCAGAAGTTTGTTTAATTTAATCCAAAAGATGTCATGTATTACAAACAAGTATGATATACATTTAGCTAAATTAACAAACAAATTTAAAAGTATAATCTATGATTTCATGAGTTATAACTTATAAGTTGTACAAGCCTTAACTTCATCTCATTAAGTCAATTGATCGCAGGCAACTAAGAATACGAAAATCTCAAAGAATGAAATCAATCTTCAATATAAACCTTTGTATGTTCCGTAAACCTACTTTCACACTGCCGAAGTATGTTTTGTTCGTTCTTTCACCAGATTCTGGACATAAAGTTCTCCCGCGCGATAGGAAGACCGTACCTGAGCATGTCAGAGATTGAACTTAAATTTCAACTATCATAAGGAGACAACTACCAGTATAATAGTAAAGTAGAAATCTTTAACCAGCTCACATGAATAAAACTTGACAAATAATGAATTTGGAAGGGAGACAAGTGTATGAGACGACATACCAGGGGCCCACTGGCAACATATCTGAACCCAATAGACTCCCCATAGTCTTTCCAGAATGCGAACTTCTCAGGAGTTACAAACTCTTTTACAGTGAGGTGTAATGGAGTTGGCTGCAACAAAAAAAAAAAAACAGATTAACATTGAGGTACAAGTATTTGCATGGACAGCTGAGAAAGCATGATTCCTTAGGCTCATTCATGGGTTGGTTGAGACTTTCAATGTTGCCAGTTTTTGGTTTTATGATTTTAGAAGTTACATGAAAAGCGTATGATATACCAAAACTACTCACACTTATTGTATTGATCTCATCAATTTTAAAGCTTCCAACAGAAAACCCGAAACCAGTTTTTCTATTTTTCGAAATCTGTTTTTATAAGAAAGTGATTAAACTGAAAACCGAAAGGGGCCTTTAATCCGCTAAGCATAATCACAAAAATGTGATGTTTCTGTGACACTGGCTGGTTATATTCAGGTGCAACCTTGTTCTGCCAAAAGATTCAGTAAATACTAAACAGCCACTTGATGGGGTTTAGCTCTAGTGAATAACATTATTAAGGGAATAAGAAAACTAGGTGTTGTTTTCTACATAGCTTGACAGATAACCAAGTATAATCACGCTTCCATGATAAACCAGCAATTGGAAATGTATTGGTAATAAAATTAGAAAAGGAAAATGCATAGATAATGCCTATTCATTCTGGGTTCATGCCACGGGGGTTTAAAATGCAATCCTAGATGGACATTGAAAGAAAACATGCACAACTTAATATTAGAAAATGCCATAACATTATGATAATGGACATTTTTTACTGTGTCAGCATGGTCATGACAAGCAAATGCAGGTATTCAGTAACAAAAAATACTTAAGACGAAGGCTAAGGTGATGCAGTAATTACATGGCATATGACATGGCAGCTAACACTCATCACACCACATCATTAAATTTTCCAGTCAGTTGTCACATAGGCTTACCTGCAAATACTGCCCAAATGTCAAAATGTCAACATCTATGGCCCGTAAATCAGCCATGGCTTCCTTTATCTCATTATCAGTTTCACCCAGCCCCAGCATGATCGAAGTTTTGGTTACCATTCCATCCTTGGACAGCTTTGCATGTTTAAGGACAGACAAGCTCTGCTCATACCTGCACAATCCCGTTTAAAAATACAAGACATTCAATAACACGTGTTTGTTTGGTGAGGTTACACTAGCATGGCACGAAAGTTAAAAAAATATTATGATCAATAGGATAACTTATGTCTACGAAATGCTAATTTCTGGCCTCTACCAGCAGAAGATATTTTTAGCAGGAGACCAAGTTCAAAAAAATCATGAAAACTATCAACAAGTTAATCATGTAAGAAAAATATTACGGAGTAATAAAGTAAATAAACTATAGTTTCATGATTTTGATCAGAACTTTTTCATCATTTTATTTATATTTATCCACATCTTTTTTCATTGATTTTCAAGTGTACTGTATAATAGGTTAGCTAGAGAGTAAAATCCTCCTCTGTTTTATTTTCATAGAGAGATGCTTAATACTGCTTGATTTGTGCCCAGCTTATTGTCTTCCTCCCTAATATAAAGAAGGCTTTACAGGCATTGCCAAGTTAGGGTCTTTAGTTGACCTAGAAAACAAATCATTCAAGTAGAAAAGAGACAGAGACCAACTCTCAATCAAGCTTAGTAGTTTCTACAATTCCTTGTGGTTACTAAAATTTCAATTATCTTCACAAAAAACTTTAGACAATATGGTGTTTGTGCCATACAGTTCATGCAATATGGCGGGGTATAAATAGTAATCCACTTTTAGTTCTTTACCAAAAAGAGAAACAAGACCATCATTTTGGGACATTCCAAAAAGGAAATACAGGACCATCATTTTGGGACGGAGGGAGTAGTTAGTTGGGAAACAACCAGCAACACTTCCAGGCTTCCTTTTCACAGTGAATATGGACATCTTCTGTGCTTAAGTGATATACTACTCATTGTACCCGAGAATCAGACTCAACCATGGAGTACCATACTTGGATATTGTGAGCTTTGGGAACATAGAGCATCTGAGCTCTGAGAACTCGGCCGGACCCTATAATCGGAGTCCAAGGAGCAAAAAGAATAATGACATTGACATACCCCCAATCCCCATATGATACAAGGAAGATAAGCAGAGTTTAATAAGTAGGTAGGGTGAATGGTATAGTACATTAGTACATAGTTAGGTTTTAGACTCATGTTAGAGAGATTCATACAGTCATACTGTGTAACTGTATTTGCTTTCAAGTACAAAATACATACAGGTCCTCTTCTTATTCTATCAACGTGATATCAAACCGTACGCCATGAAAACCCATGCTATAAGTGGTAAATAATTCGCTGCGCATTAAATAGATTGTATTTCATTTCATGTACAAGAAATATAGAATCGTGCTCTAAAAGTGGTAATAATTCAGTAAACACAATATGCTCAGTTTCTCCTCCATTTTAGACCTTCTCTTTAGTATCTGGATTTTGGAAATACTGTTTATAGCAGTGTCTGTCTCAATTATAGCCTTCATCTCCTTCAGAACAAGAAACAAAAATATGATCTTTCCTTTACCCTAAACTAAGCTTGCTTGGTCTTTGGAGAGTACTAACCAACTTCACTTGAAAAGAACATCATCTCACTTTGTGAATATCAGCTACGGGATCCATTCTTGATAAAGGCAGCTTTGGTTTTGTTTAGTTTGGCCATGTTATTGACTATATGCATAGCATTTAATCATGCCTAAATGCTGTGCATTTAGGCATTGTTTTCATTCAAAAAGCTATTGATGTTAAGACGTACCAATAATAAAAGATCAGGCTGAAATGGACGAATCAACTAAACATAAGTAATAGAAACTAACCCCTCAAAAAAGAAGGTTAACACCATGCAAAAAAATTATAGATACCACCATGAAAAGCGGTCAAAATGCATCCTTGCCACATCTTGTGTACAACGATGTTTGTACATTATGTGTGAAGAGAGCGCATCAATTCTAATGATGTACTTTTCTTACTTGGAAAGATAACAAATCATAGCATATAAATGTTAAACCCCACAGTCACTGCTGCCCAAAACTCACATCCATACACGCACATCAAAAACATAAATAAAAAACTGTGTGCCTAAGGAGTTAAATGTTTAATGTGGATACGAGATATGAAACACATTTGCAAGCTTACCCAGCTCTAGGATCTCTAACTATACGTTGAAGTCGTTTCACAGTCTCAATGTTGTGCGCAAAGACATCCAAACCAGAGTTAACTAGAGTTGCTACAGCATCTAAGTCCCCTCGAAAATCAGATGTTAAGCACTCAACCATAATTGTGGGCTTAAATATCTGTCAAACGAATCAAAATGTCACATACACTACCCTCGAATATCTGATCATACATGTACTGCTTTTACAGAAATACAATAACTTGCATAAAGTTGCCCTTTTCAATCTTCCAATGCAAGCAATTAATATTTGTCATGAAAGACAACTAAGAATGATATAAATATACGGATGTGTTTACCTTCAAGGTCCTTACAGTTTCAGCAAAGTGGCCACTTCCACCGTCAGGTAAATCATCTCGATCTACGCTGGTCAATACAATATAGTCCACACTGCAAGAGGAAGATAAATTACGAGTTATGAGAAAACATGTAGTATCGCAAACAAGGGTCTTTTGTTATTAAAATGTGAAGTCCTCTCACACTCAGCCAAGTATGAATTTACAAACCCTGCCATCAAAGTTGACTTTTTTGAATCAGAACCCCAAGTCTTAATATGATACTTTGATCAATGGACAAAATCAGCTAGATATATAATGTAGTTATATGTATTCAAGACTCTATGTTGGCTTAGACCCGTGAATTTTAAACCCAACTGCATGAGCTGGTTACTAAGAGGTAGTGGCAAGCTATCTCAGTTTCCACTAGTAATATTATTATAACTATTGCTTCTGTTGCTGTTGATATTTTTATATAAGCAGGTTCAAAAGTAAGCAAAAAAGGGGATACCCTTACCCCCAGCTGGCAACAGCTTGTGCAGTGTGAAAAGGCTCCAGGGGATCTGGAGGAGCTGGATTGCGGCTGGTCTTTACAGCGCAGAATCTGCAACCGCGGGTGCAGGTGTCTCCGAGGAGCATGATTGTGGCAGTGGAAATGCCGTCTCCGCCTCCATTCCAGCACTCGCCGATGTTGGGACACTGCGCTTCCTCGCACACAGTATGTAGCTTGAGCCCGGATAGTGTCTCCTTCACCTCAAGGTACTTCTTCCCCTGTGGAGCCTTCTGCCTCAGCCATTCCGGCTTCTTCTGGTTGGGATCTCTTCCAGTGTAAGGACCCATTCCGCCAGGGTATGGCTGCGATTTCGGCGTCTTCTCCTCAGTGAATTCACAGCTGATTGCTACTCTTCTACGTGTGGATCTGGGTCGAAAACAAGATAATGAAGTTGACGGATTCCAGAAAGTTTTATTATCAATGCAACCATGGCTAAAGGTAGGAGAAGATGCTGGAATTGTGGGGAGACAGCATTGATGAACCATTGCCGTTCTGTTCGTCGGAAAAGTTGAAGATATAAAATGCAAATTGAGTTAATGGAGATCATATAAGAAGTGTCAAGAGAACAACAATAAGGAGCGTGTGTTCCCATATCAACTACCATGGATTTCTCCGCCTCCCTCTATCCTGGCTTCTATTCTTCAAAATTCATTCTTTTTAATGAATTCTTCAAAATTCATTTATCAACTGCCCTCCAAAATTACCAATTTCTTTTACCTTTCACTTTCTCCTCTCTTTCTCTCTTCCATACAAAAATACTCTCTTCTTTCTTTTTTATATCTTCCATTTTCACCATCGCAATCCATTCATCCTAATCTACTTTGTCTATCACACTAGTTGGAATGGGAGATGTTGGGAGTGTTTGCATTTGATTTTAAAAAGTGCTTTTCAGTTTTTGGCTTAAAAAAAGTTAAAAAGAGTGTTTTTAAATGACAACTTCTGCTTAAATTAATCACTTAAAAGCTAAAAGCTGGAAGCAGGTGGAAGGGTGCTTTAAACTGCTTTTCACTTTTTCTATTACACAAAAAGTACTTCTTTTACCAAACACTACCAACTTTTACTTTTTCAGAATCACTTTTTCTTCAAACACTACCAACTTTTACTATTAATCACTTTTCCCAAAATCACTTTAAAAAATCACTTCTTTAAAGTTAAAGCAATTGCAAACACTCCCGTTATCCGACTTATTGTCTATACCTTGTAAAGTATGGTAGGTGTTATCTCAAAAAATTAAATTGAAAATTTCATAAATGTATGTAAACAATTAAACATATATGTTCTCGTAAACATGTATGTGCACATAGGGATATTTAGAAGTGATTTTTTTTCTGCTTCTTTTTTAAAATAAAAGCATAATCAGAATTAGTTTTCAGAAGCTGATACCTACCAGCTTCTAAAAAAACTGATTCTGAGAGTAAATTAGAGCACCATAAGTGCTTTTGGAATTTCACCCAAACACTCCAACTTCTGCTTCTGCTCCCTGAAGCAGCAGAATCAGTTTTGAGAATCAGATACAAACACCCCCACATACAAAACATACATGCGAACAAACACTTTTCTATGTATACACATAATTAATGTGTATATAGACAACTAATGTATGTGTAGAGAACATTAGTTTGTATGTAAATCACATTGATATGCGTGTTTTTTACAGAAGCGTCAAAGTTAGATTGTAGGACAACTTATAATATGTATATACACACATTAGTTATCTGCATACATAGAAATTGATTTCTATGCAACATAACACTGAGTTCTCAACGGCAATTGATGTCCGTGTACGTACACGGATATTTTTTATTTTTTTTATTAATAAAGAATGAAATATATTAATAGTCAAATTGGTGTTGTGGCAAATGTTAAAATTGGAGGAATTGTATTTTTACATAATTTTACCATTTCAATCAAAGGTACATCAACTTCGACAAGTTTAGCAATTTTAGTGTTACCCAGTCACTATAAAACTCACATTGAAATACTACTATTATTGATATTGAATCACACGTGTTTTTAAATCGGTAGACATAAGTTTTATTACACCACAAATTAGAAATGTTGGTAAATTCTTAAAATTTGGCAAGTGACAGGTGAGTTATTTATTTACACTGACGGGATATGCGGAATAGATTACACTGGCGGGATATGCGGAATAGAAAAAGTCTCACTTCTATTAGAGCATCTCCAATGGGCTTCTTTCAACATAATAAAAAATTGCCACATCATTAATTTCAAAAGTATGGTGGTAATTTTGTCTCCAGTCCGTTCTTTTATTAGGTCTTTGGAGCTTATGTGGATTCAACGCTTTCAAGAACTCTGTTGGGATTTCCACAGCCTGTTTAACTCCCTGACTCAGCATTTGGGAGCAATATGCGCAACTCGTGAGAAAAAAGCGGGCAAATCTAGAACAAAAAAATCGTGGGCACCGTTTCTCAAAATTAAGGAGTAAGGATGTTTTCTTTTGGACTGTTTTCAGTCCCAGACAAGACCAGACCAGACTTAAACAGATCAGACCAGATTAGACCAGACTTAAACAGACCAGACCAGACTTAAACAGACCAGACCAGACCAGACTTGGATAGTTATAAAATACACAAAGACCAGACGTTTACCAGGCCAGTTCAGACCAGACCAGACTTAGATAGACCAGATCAGACCAATTCAGACCAGACCAGACTTAAACAGACCAGACCAGACCAGCAAATTGCAGTCCAAAAGAAAACATCTTAAATCTGGAAAACCAAATAATTCTTGTATTACTCATTACTATATTAAGCCAAAAAGTGTATACGATTGAATAAATTGACTAATTTATGATTTAAAAGAAAAAAATTTACATCGATCAGATGCTTTAAATTGACTAAATATGAATAAATTGACTAATTTATGATTTAAAAGATAATATGACTACAACTTAGATGCCTTTTTTGTTTTAGGATTCAACTACTCCGTATATTAATCATATAAAATGACACGTAGATAATAATTTAAGATGTTAACATTATGCATTGGAGAACATTTATTAAGTTCTTTTAATGTGTAATTGATGTGGATAGACATAAACGTAAATAATTGACATTTGGCAAGATTTAGGCACCGTCAAAAGATTTAGGCTCTTAGATTTCTTTTCTAAAAGGTACGTTTGAGAATCTAGTTTTGAAGTTTTGAACAAATCTATTATTATATAAAGGAACAAGGTGAGGCTCTTTTTTGGTTCAAAATCCCGCCCACCTTAGGGGCTATTATTGACATTTTATTTTCAACATCCCGCCTAAACCCAACTGGCTTTTACTCGGGTGATATTAATGGAAGGTATACATAATACATAACCAGCGTAATATAAGACTACCATAATCCAATCTAACGTGCACATATTAATAAGGTAAGGGATTAAAGGAAAATAAATACAGCACTACCACCATGTAATATACAAGACTAACGTGTTGATATTAATAAGGCAAGAGATTAATACGTAGTAGTACATTACTGCAGCATACAGTAAAACTAATATGGTAAGCATATACACTATTACTTCAATTCGGTGATTATGACATACGGTAATTGAGAAACAAGGCAAGAGTACCGGCATGTTATTCATGGTAAGAATAACAACGCATCAATAGTATAATCCATGCATGGTAATTAAAATTAATAGCCACCTATATAGAGTAATAATGCTTTATTGTTGGAAAGAGTATACATGGCAACGTATACATGGCAGATTTCTTTATCAATTATCAATTATAGCTAAATAAATAATTTAGGTATGTCCATACACATTAGCAGTGCAGTGGCGCCAATTCATCTACAATTCATACTGGCAGATGTGGAATTTAGGATGTCTATATAAACCCATGCCTAACATTGAACATTCACTCATACCAAATACCTCATGGCTCCTAAAATGGCAGTATTGAGTGAACTCAAGCCTGGCTCCGTTGATTGGAAGATCCAAGTACGCATCCTCCGTATGTGGAGAGTCATTGAAAAAAGCACAAATCAGCCCGGATCTATTGAAATGGTCATAATAGATGAGCAGGTAGAAATATAAACTCATGTACTTATTAAGCACAGCTTCTTTCACAAATATTATGATTTTGATAATGACATGTATGATTTTTTACGTTTACAATATAGGGTATGAAGATACATGTAACTATTAAACAAAATCTTGCTCCAAAGTTTGAAAAGTTGCTTCAAGAAGACTCTGCTTACACTTTTGAGAATTTATGTGTTGGTATAAACGACACCAAATATAGAAGGACTACCACACATAAATACAAGTTGAACTTTATGTTCAGCACAAAGTGCACAAATGCACCTTCAACAACAATACCAGAGCATGGTTTTGACTTCATGCGGTTCGCAGACATTTCAAATGGAAAAGATGACGGTATTTACATCGGTAAGTTCAAATAAAGTAGATCATATATTACGAATTTCAGTTTCTTTATTTCACTGACATGTCACATATTTAATTCTGTTTATTTGTGTTTAGACATCATTGGTCACGTGGTTGGGAAGAATCCAATAAAGGAAACACTGGATAAAGACGGAATTATGAAAAAGTTGATTGATTTCGAGCTTCAAGATCTTGAGTACGTATTTTACACTTGCATGAATATCGATATATAATCAAACAAATTATGCCAGTATGATTTTTCGTCGTTCATCCCTCTCTAGGAATAATCGTATCCCATGCACCGTATGGGAAGATCTAGCTATACGGATGTATCATTGTTTATACATTGAAGAACCATCAGGACCAGTTGTCATAATTTTGCAAGGCTGCCAGATGAAGACATGGGGTGGTAATGGACTTTATTTGAAACTACAAATGAACTACATATATGTGATAAATTATTTAAACCAAGTCATATTATGCAATTTGTAGGAATAATCGGCTTAACAAACGCTTTTCGTGGTACAAGGTTGTACATCAATCCTAAGTTGTCTGTTGTTACGGACTACATGGCCAGGTATGTCATAATGCGGCTATAAACTCATTTTAAAAATGCCTACTCAATATACATAAATATCTAGGCTAGCAGAATCTTCTTAATAATAACTAAGAATATTTTGCAAAAAAGGGGAAATTGTTTAGCAATTTTTTTGCCTTATTTTTCTTTCCTACCGTCAGATCAATGATTCAACTACATTAATAATTTTTCATACAAAATTAAATTTCCTTTTCATAATTTCAATTAAAACTTATTTCAAATTTATTCATATATAATAATCATTCCTAATTTATTAGTTTATTGTTGATTTCTTTTAATATTCACTCATACAAGGCTTAAGGATGCGGATTGTTCCATATCTGAAATGGGGAGCAGTTCTGGTCAGCTTACAGTTTCTTTCACTGATGATTTGACAAAAACACAAATGGTTACTATAGCGGATTTAATGGAAATTTCTCGGGTTGTTTTTAGTTTTTTTTGCTTATGTCAGTATCAATGTGAGATAAATTATATGGACTGACTTAAAAAACTGTGTCGTTGCAACAATAGAAGTGTTTTTGTTTTCTGCTTGCACAAGTCATTGAAGTTGATACTATGGGGGGTTGGTTTTACAATGCGTGCTTCAAATGCCGGAAGAAGGTCATTCCCGCTGGTGCAAAATATTATTGTGAGGGTGTTAATTGCAAGAAGCACGTTCTTGCTGTTCCCAGGTACATATCTATTTTAAAATAAAAAGTGTTGTCCTTCTCATATTAGATTAACATATACATATACATAGTTTAAAATCGACATCTTCTACTTATAGATCTATTGTTTTTTGTTTTGTTTCAAATCAATTCCTTAAACATATATGCAGATTT